TTTTTTTTTTTTAAAGTTTAGTTGTTTTGTTTTATTCGTACAATTTGCAGTTTTTTTCTGGGAAAAGAATAAGCAAAGAACATTTGAAAAACGAAAATACGTAGCAAATAAAAAGAAAGAATTATCAACTTGCTCTCAATTTATTTTTTCGAACTTCTAAGAGTGAAATAAAAATTTTGAAATTCGTTTTTTGTTAAAACATTAATTTTTTTAATTTCAGTCGTTTTCTTAAACAGTTTTTTAGACCCAACTGTAAACTTCAAAATTTGAGGTTATTATGTGAAAAGCAAACAAACTGCAAGCTTTGAAGCTAGAAAATTTGAGCAAATTAACATATTCTTCTTTTTTATTTGTTGCAGAATTTTCTTCCTTGATTATAACAGTGTGTTGGTATATACATCAACAATCAGCCAAATACTTAAGAAAGAAAAAAGATAAGTTTTAGAATACCAACAACTATTCATTAGTTCTTCAGCAAAGAAATTTTATAAAAGTTTAGTAGATCAGAAATTTATTTTTTTTTAGTAAATTAATACGTTATTAAATTATAAAGATAAGAAGTAAAAGAAGAAGAGAGACAAGAAGCAAAAAAAAGAGATAAGTTCAAGTGAAGAAAATTGTTTGAGAAGATTCAGCAAATACTCTTCAAATAAGAACTTCAACCTCTTCTACTCGAAATGATTTCAGTCTAATAGCTCCAAAAAATTGGAAGGCAGAGAAAAATGCAGAAATAAAAAAGCTGAGGTAACTGTCTTTAACACTACCAAGTTCATGTACCACCGTTTTGCAGCTTTTTATAAAAAAATCAAATATAGCTGGTTATTGTTCCAAAAGCGATTTGTTATTTGCCAGGAAACCTAGTTAGCACTTTTGGTTTTTATTACCTGAATTTTTATCACTATCGGTTACGGCTTTGGTTTGAAGTTTCCAAAAATCGACATTTTATAAAAAGTGATCCTTGCTGCTATTCAAATTTCGTCTCAACACTTGTATAATTTACTTTAGTTGTATGTAGTATGCAGATTTTTACAGTATTTCACTTTAACAGTTAACAGTTACGTTATGCTTTTTTTAATGTCAAAAAAAACTAAACTGTCAAAAATGATCAAACTTATTTGGTAGTTTTACAGTAACCTCTGTTTTCGCCGCAAGATCAACACAAAGCAGAGAAGATTTATTTCCTCAGCTCAAAATTTACTGGCTATTACCTAAAGTCAATTAATAACTACAAATTGTTTTTTGTTTCAAGTAAAAATTGTTAGTCTATTTTTGTTTAGTTATTTGCTGCTACTGGTCTAATATTGTTAATAAGAACAATAAATTTTACTGTTATGAAAAATTTTGAAAAACATGAAGGCATTTTCAAATGTACAATTTGGCTTAATGGTTGATTAGAAAACTGAAATACGGTTTGAAGATATTGAATAAATAGTTAGCAATTAAAGAAAAAATTATTTTGAGATTAAATAAAAGAGTTTTGATGTCACATCGATTTTGTAACCAAAGTTCTTTCCACTTTCAATAACTTTCATACTTCCACGCGTATTCATTTTTTTCTACATAAAATTTATTTTCTGTTTTTAAGCACTCTAAAATTGAAATGATTATGGGCACTTACTAAGAAGTACGTTGGATTCTAACAACAGACTGCATTTATAATGTTGTCGCAAACGTATCAAAATTTTCTGTTACAATTCGTTAAAAGCGTCTGCCATTTTAATCTGAAATTAACACTTGAAATTTTCGCAGATATTTGCTGCCTATATAGGGTTTTTTAAGAAAGGTAAAAAGAAATTTACTTTTTACTAAACTATGCATCAGCATTTTAAAATTTTTTTCAAATTTTTGTCGCGCTGTCGCAGTTAAAATGTAGAACATTTTAAAACGAAAAGATTTAACATGATCAAAGCGGTACAGTAAGAAAGGAAAATTTGAGAAAGCTGCAGCGGAAACACAAAGTGACCGATTAGGGAACAAGATATTTGACCCTTCATTCATACAGCCCTAAACCAAACGTCATCTGTCTTCGAAAGTCCTGATGCACTGTTGCAAAAACTACCTGATTCCTTATACCAACAAATGGCAGACGAAATGCTGCAATTTTTTCCGTGCTCACAAAAAAAAAAAGGCAAAACGCGATCTGACAAAAGTAGCCAAAAGATTTAGAAAATTAGACAGCATTTCAGCGAACATTTGGCTGTTATTTTTTAAACCAAACTTCAGACGGAACCATTTCCATACACCGTTACCTGAACAGAAATAAAATCTGTTTTCTTTTTTTTTTCATTTTTATATGAAATCTTTAAGGCGGTTTTTCAGAGAAACAAATCAAAAGCTAATTTTAAGAAGTGTGCAAGCATAATAAATCTGTTTTAGTTTTACGTCATATCAAATTTCAGACCTTA